GTGTACATATACGGTATACTATGTTAAGGAATTAATTAATTAGATCTACTTTTGTGGAATTTATTTATAAATAAAAATTATATTATAAGTTAAATTTAAAATTTAAATTTTGAGACTAATATTCTTAATTTTTTTAAATGCACTACTCTCATATGAAATGCATTTTTAGAATCTATTTGGTACAGTAGTTAAAATTTAACGAATAACATATGACAATAGTAAGTAGTGGGTAGCGGATGACGGTTAGTAGATAACAGATGATAGATAGTGAATAGTAGATAGTGGATTTAATAAATATAACTATTTAGTTATACAATAGTTAGTGGTTGTTATTTAATATTAAATGATTAATAAAGACATGTTTAAAAACATTAAGTGTATTTTTTTAAATATTTTTTATTTCTAATTATTAAAATTATTAATTTTATAAAAATAATAATAGGAAAATAAATAAATAAAATTCATTATAATAATATAATTACACCCTCAATTCTATTTTTATCAAAGAAAAAAATTATATTATTTTTAAATAAAAAATTAATCATTTTGTCTAATTAGTAAATTTTGTTTTTTAAGATAAAATATTTTATAATGATAAATTAATGTACAAAATAAAAATATTATAATCACTTAATGTTATTAAAGGTAAAAAAAACAAAATTAAAACTTATTAAATAAATATTAATTAAAAAATGTGGCCAAAAATTTAAAAAATTAAAATGAATAAATTTGTCAATAAAATTAAAAAATTCCAATCCACTAACGGTTTAGTACAAAAAATTACCTAATTTAGTTTTTTCAATCTACTAGTAGTTTAGACTCTAACTGCTATTCGTTAGTTCCAAACTACTACATAAAAATTTTATCAAACACTTTATTTATAATGGTTTCAAAATATATAAGTTTATCAAATATCTATACTTAACCGTTTAAATAAAACTGCTAACTGCTATGTCAAAACCGCTGTATTATACGACTCTTAATATCATTGGACAAGAGATTAGTAGCATAGTAGGAGCACCCAAAATTGATAGGAATGGAGCATGCAAAGTTAAATATTAAATCGCTAGACAGTTCGAGAAAAATAATTAAGCCTCATTAAGATTAATTAGTGGCTAAAAAAGAAGAAGAGTCTTTTTTTTAATTTATGCTTTAAGAGCACATGTTAATATTATTATTATTTTATTTTTTATATTAATTAATATTAAAAATAAAAGTTGATTTTTATTTAATTATTACTTAATTAAAATGATTTACATGATATTATTGGTAAAATTAATATCAATTTTGTATTTTTTAATATTAATTAATTTTAATATATGTAATAATTATACTCATAGGACCTATTTGGTTAGAGTACTACTTTAGCAAAACAGTTTTTACGAGAAAAACTTATTAGAAAAGTATTGTACGAAGAGTTACTTAAGTTTTGTAGTGAAATTTTGTTAAAATTTTATCAAATCATTAAATTTGTTATATTTGGTAAGAAATAGATATATAGATAATTAGTATAGAAAGTTGTTATGTGGGCTTAAGATAGAGATGGTTGCAGAGAAATTTTCACCTTTCAAAATAAATGGGAAGAAAACTTTATAAATTAAAAATTGTGGTATGGAAAAGAAATGTTAAAATATCATTTTTATCTTTCTTTTGTTGTAATATTAATATGTAAAAATACATAAATAATTTTATACAAAAATTTAAAGAATTTTAATAAGGAAAATTTTCCTTCAACCAAATACTCCCCTAACTTACACTTAAAATACAGGTTAGAAAAAATCAAACAAAAATTACTAATTAACACTTCAAATAATCAGATGCGTTGCCAAACAGATTGTGTAGCAAGGGTAGGCCATGCTTAGGTCCACACCGACCTCTTTTTCGCCACACAAATACATAATAAATTTATTTAATTTAATTGAATTTATCTTTTTATAACTAATTAAAATATTTAAAAATTTTAACATATTAGTTAATTGTAAATTATTAAATGGTTAATATAGCTGTTCAATCAATTACTAATTAATAATAATTATCAATTATTTTTAATAATTTAACTAATCATATCTATAATGGATAACTTTTATTTTTAGGTGTCCTTAACAAATATTTATTTATGGGTGATGTTATAGAAATAATTTTTTTTATCTTATTTTTTTATATAATTTTTATATATTATTAAATAAATATATTTAATATCACAAATTTTATATAAATTTAAAAAATTAATCATTTTAATAATACATCAAATTATATAAAAATATAAAATAAAAAAATTATATAAAAATAATTTCCCTATATAAATAATGCCACTACTTCCAACATTAAAATACGTGACGAAGGGTCCTTTAATTTTAAACAAAGATTCACCCTTTGCTAATTCCTAGATTGTCTGCACTAATGATGTTCTGGACGTGCTTTTCTTTTTCTCATTTTTGGTTTAAATTAATGCTTGAAACAGTAATAAAATTCAATCATTGAAACGATTATTTCGGTTTTGGCCTTAGGGAATGGCAAAATTAATTTTCATGGGCCAGGCTTCCCTTGGTGGGATTCACGGCTCACCAGCTGTGATCAACCCGAGTAGTTCATTCCCAACCCCCACCCCCGTTTTCTTTCTGTTTTTTTTTTTTTTTCAAAAAAATTCTTTTTAATTTCAGAGAGATAAATAGGACAAATTTTATAATTTTTTTTACTTACATCATATATATATACTTTTAAGTACAACTCTAATTTAAAAGTCACGTGCTTTGAATGAAATTTTTTAATTCAATTATTTATTTTTAAATTTTAGTATTTGAGTTTAATTGATTAAGAATCCGATATCAATTACTTAAAAAAAATCTCTCATTCCTCAAAATTTCCCATGTTAAAAAAAAAAAAAAAAGTCACATGCTTTAACCGATATACTGTTTGTTTTGTTTTCCTAAACATACGAACATCGGGCATATAAGGATAACTTCGCTTCCTTACCTATTGACTTCAATTTAAATCCCTCCATTGTCCATTCCAAAGTTCTTCTTGGTACATGAAGTTTGAGCCCAAGGTTCAGAACACTTTCTCCGTTCATATAATTCTCTTAAATAGTTGTTGTTGCTTGGGTAACACCAAGACATTATCATTTTTAATATACACAAAATGATGAGCCGCTAACTTTGCAAACTTTGCAACGTCAAAAGAAAAAAAGAAAAACAAAGAGAGTATTATAACTTGAGTTCCCTTTTTATTACTATTTGAACAACATTGAACCGTAAAAAAAAGACTCTTAGAAGGGAGAATAGCCTTTTATATTAAAAAATTCACCCTTAATCTAAAAATTAATTAAATATAATTTAATATAATCCAAATTATACTAAACATTTCTATTATAAGTTTAGTGTTGAGAACTGAGTCTGAGAAAAGACCAGTCCAAGGAAACTTCATTATTGCTGAGATACAAAGCTGCAAATGGGCTCTATGACTATTAATATTGAGGATCAAGCCCACGTTTCTTTTTATCAGGCCTTTCTTAGTGACACCTCGAATTATAACTTGGCCCAGATCCAATCATCATGGGCCTTAAAATGCAGTACATTTTCCTCTTGAAACTCGTATCGTACGGCACCAGCACGTGCCAATAATTTTGCCTTACCCAATTACCAGCTTCGGAAATCAGGAAGAACACTATCTCTCTTGCTGGTTAATAAAATTCCCAAAAAAATTTCTCTTCAATTTCTACCGTTAAATCCCTAATCAAAAGATTTCTCCCTCCCAATCTTCTTCTTGCTCTTGAATTTCCTTCAAAATTCCTTCAATTTCCGCAAAAATGGGCAAAAACCAAACCTACAAAGCTATGCAGAGGGCGAAGCTTGGCTCCACCTCTGCAGGCCCCGAAGAGATCGATGATGGCATGGTTTGTACCCTTCCTTACTACATACTCATCTTTCTTCAATACCCACAATTCAATTTTTGATTTTTTTTTTTTTTAATTGGCTTGTTCTTTTTGATGTTTTGTTTAGTTTCAGATGATTGGAAGTACGTTCTGTTCTTTAATTTATGTTATTGGGATTGGCTTTAGTTAGCTAGATGCCAGTCACACTCTTCTTTGGTAGGATCTGGGGATGTTCTGGGTGATTTGAAGTACATTATGTTTTGTAATTGGTTTTAGGTTCTTAAATCTGGTTAACTTCCTCTTGAATTGGTCCCGTACTTAGGGATTTGAGTTCCTGTGGTGGGAATGGTGGAGCTAGCTTCTAAGTGTTAAATTATGGAGTCCTGAAAGGTAAAATTCATATGTAGGTACATTTGGTGTAGAAAGTTGGATGGTTTAGGAAAAATTTTGTGTGGTTCTTTTAATGATTTGGTATGCCATTTCATGGTGTTCTGCATTTGGATATGTTGCCGTTCATCTCTGGGAATTGTGTTAAAATGAAAGTTTTGTAGATTGGATTTTGATATGAAGTCTGGGTATGATATGATATGTACCAAAGAGTATTTTAATGGTTGGATACTGGATGGTAGGATATGATGCTGGTGCAGTAATTAAGGGAAAACATTGTTTTATTTTAAGATTCAGAGCTAATATTCATTCAGTTGCAGATCATTTAATTGTTATTTAGTTTCAGAACTTTTGTGCCATGAATAAGAATCTTCCCAATATGGGGATACTGTTAGCATTCCTTTAGTTATATATCAATGTTCTAAGAAAAATAAATATACGGGTTCACCAGGATAAATTTCATTAAAAACGGATTGGTTGGAAATATAATTGTTTAATCCAGTTTGGCAGTCATATTCTTGATAATTTCTTTCTCTAGAACTTTTCTGATGAGGACTGTCACAGGTGGATGGTTCTTTTCATTCACCAGAGTGGCATGCTGCCCGATTGGCCAGCCTTAAAACCTCCCACACTGTTACCTGGGAAGAATTCAAAAGGAAACAAAAGGTAAGCTGCTCAGTATTTCTATATGTACATTCTCTTCTTCTTTTAAATTATTCATTTTGTTGGTTTTTATAATGATAAGATGACGATGGATGTAATTTCATGTATTTGGATGTAATTTCATGTATTTAGATGTATCTCGAAAAAGCACTAGGAAAAAGATAAAATAAAATTAGTACCTTGTATGTTGCATAAGCTTAAAATTACCACTTTTTGGTACATCTAAAAGGGCTATGCAACAGGGGCAGCAGATAGCCCCTCCTCCCAAAACCCATTTTGCCTTGTCCCAAGGTTCAAACTTGAAAACTCCAACTTGGAAGCTCAAACTCTTAATTGTTTGGACATCCCTTAAAAGGGACACTTAAAATGACTGCCACAACGATGCTGTTATAACTTATAATTCATACTTGGCCAAATATCTGAAAAATTAAAACAACATTTTTTTTGATTAATATAGGGAAGCATATAGATGTAGGGAAAATACATCAATAGCTCAACAGTTTATATAGCTACCAAAGTGACTTTTTGACATTACTACATTTCATTATGAAAATTTATTATCTTTTTTTATGGTTCTGGATATGCTAGGAAGATGCAATGAAAAAGGGGGCATTGGAAGCAGATACAGATAGAATGATGCGGGAGTATAGAGCTCAACTAGATGCTGAAAGGGCACGCAAGCTTGCCCAGGGTAGGAACCACTCTAGTAGTAAGTCTAGCAAAAAGGGTATGTACCCAAAACTTTAAACACTGCAATATTTTTCAGGCCACTTTCTTCTTATAATTGCTTTGCTTTTCCTCTTCCTGGCTGAGGACGTTATGTTTCATTGCAGACAAGAAAGAGAAAGATTCAAAGAGACGCAGCAGCAAAAAGAGAAAGGTACTTTCATTTTCTGATAATATGATTTTATTTGAAGTTTCTTGTGAAGAATGCCATACATAGATTTTATGTAAATCAAACAAGATGACCTTCTTTTAATTTTCTTATCAAAATGGAAGATTTTCTAGTTCTTCTTTTACATGTTTTGTAATATGATTTGAAATATATATATCCTGTAAGCTATTTATATTTATTACATGGCATGAGTTGAGTTCTTTATGCATATAAAATTGTATCAACATATTTGCTTCACTTCTGAGGGCACAAATATTTTCCATGGCTTTCAACCAAGACAAAGGAGTGGTGGGTAGGGGGGATGATGACTGATTGAGTTTAAGAGTGGGTGAACATTATGATTTTCATGACTTTTCAGTGTTGGGAAAGACACCAGATGCAAGAGGCTAGGTGTTATATTTGGGAATCTGTGGGCGAAGTAAAATTCAAGTTATATTTGGGAATCTGTGAGCGAAGTAAAATTCATGTCTTATGTGTTAATTTTAGTTTAGAATGAAATGTTATTGCTATATGCATGTCCTGTTGCTAGTTAGAAAGTCTTTACAATCTTGTATATTTAGCCTTTTGGATTAGGCCAGGAAAGATGGGAATTTTCTGATTGTCTCTTAGATCCTTGGAGGTTTTTGACATCTTATAAGTCATAGTAATACAAGTCATATGGCTATAATTGATATAGAACAATCCTTTTGGTGCTGCATGGTAGACTTGTGTATTCATTCTTTTTATTCTTGAGTTAACTGCCTTTTTGTATATGTCAGGCTGTCACCTCTTAAAACTGCTCTTCCCTAGTTAATACACACAGTATTGGTTTTGGCAACACTCACTGTAGCTGGTGCTTATTTTATTTCATTCACCATTCAAATGCAGCTCCTTTGTTCTTTCTGAAATAAGAAAACAAGTGGACCATATTTCTTTTCATGGCAATTTGTAGGTAATAGGTTAAGTTCTATTTCTGATTGGGTTGAGCATGAGAACAGTGAGAATGAATCCATGCAGTTTAATTGGGACTGGCTTTTTATCTGCTCTTTATTCACCTTTCTTCCCCTCTCCGTTTTATTATTCTTTAATCGTTTGGGCCTCAAATATCTCAGTTGTGTGCATATGAAGATTGAGCCTGACTTGTTTAACCAAATTTATGCAGCATTCAAGGCGTAGGTCTTCTGACTCTAGCTCCTCTAGTTCATCCTCAGAATCTTCAAGTTCCGATGATGAAGGGAGAGAGTCTAAACGATCGAAGTCCAGGTCCAAGAGAGATAAGAAAAAGAAGCACAGATCAAGAAATAAGAATTCAAGCAGTGATAATGAAGAAACTGATGGTCCAGTTCCACTTTCAAGATTTTTTGGGAGCGTGAAGAGTTAATGCCTTCCTCAACAATAATGTCAAATGTATTTGTTGTGCACTCATAGTTCCTGGATAGATTAATTTTTCCTCTTCAATTTTAATTTAAAGAGCTTGTAACAAAATACAATTTGTCTTTCCATATCCTTCAATTCCGTTTCTGTTTCAGTATTTGTATTGCGAGTGGAAAAGAACTCATTCAGTTGGATAAAATTATGTCATATGATATGAATATTGTATAACTTTGCACTCTCTCTCTCTCTCTCTCTCACCATACACACACACACACACACACACACAACTATCTTCGATTTACTGATTTATTAGGCTTTCTTTTTTGAAAGAAAGAAAGAAAAAAAAGGAATTAAAGAGAAAAACGCTTAGAATGGCTGGTATTGCTTAGATGGCACAGGACGAATTCACAATATCAGGCTGATTTTCAACTTTCATTGTTCCTAAACATTGGTTTTACAACTGTCAACCACCTCAGCCAATGTTAGAGAGATCAATTCGATAATAACGACGAAAATTAACACAAACGATACAAAATTACAAACACCAGTACAATTGTCTTGGTCCCTGCATTCTGCCAGTGACCAAAGTATTGAAGTTCAAGAGCTACCTCTTTCTCAGATGGGTCACAGATATATACAAGAACAAATAAATAACTAAAACAGAAGGAAGGGAAACCACACTGATCAAAGCCACGCTGAAGGAATAGATGGCGTTTGATCGTTCACTGTTGCTGATACTCAGGATTGAATGCAAGAGCCTCACGATATATGAGCTCCTTCATCTGCTCCTCAGTTAATGCATGGTGCTCAAAGTCGAAGCCAAAGGGGGTCGTGCACACAGGCTCATCACTAATGTCATGGAGTGAATTTAGGTAGGGATGAGCGAGGGCATCTTCAACTGCAAACAAGTATGAAGAAAATATTACATGAGTTGCAAACTGGAAGCAAAATGCTAACTCAATGAAGTAATGGCTGCCTGCACGACAGGATAAACAAAGAATGGATCTTTCAATCTTGAATGGCAAGGAACACAAGAAGTAAAGATACAATGATATATATAATCCAATATCTGCCGATGAAAGTAACTTCACATGGAGGAGTGATGCACTCAGTTTTCTTATGGTAAATGCGACCAAATCCCGAAGTGCCAAAATACAGTCAAACACAACAAATTTTGGTTGACATGTGGTGCCAGAAAAATGGGAGTTCCAAGATTTTAACACAGGACCCAACTCTAATACCATTTTATTGCTGTCAATGGGTCCAATCACGTATGTGAAGACATTTAAAAAATAATCAGTATGTACAAAAAATAATAGTAATAATAATAATAATCAGTACATTATTAAAAATAACAGGAGGCGTTAATACATGATTTAAACTTATATTGTTGTTCAATAAAACTCACCTGTAATCCTCTGTCTAGGATCAAATGTCAACATCTTCTCAACAAGATCAATGGCTAAGGGTTGGACGTTTGGAAATTTCTCAGTGAAAGACTGTCGTTGATAAACAGGAAGTTGTTTAATGTACCTCCTAGCATTTTCATTTAAGAATCCTAACTCAGCCTCCAAAGGAGTGCCAATTAGCTGCCAGAAATAGAGTTGGTTAGTCAAGATGACATATGGAAATTAATAAAATAATAGATTTTTTTTTTTTTACAATTCTCAAAACTGTGATCCACTCTCAAAGGAAAACAGACCTGATAATTTAAAATCTCCTTAGTCTTATGCATTCAAATTTAAGAACAATTTCAGGCACCTGGATAACCTAGCAGTCAGAGGTGTATGAGTCTGGATGAAGTGCTCTTCTTTTATACCAAAGAGAAGAAATATTTTTCTCAAAAATACACCCACTAGTAATAACTACTTCTGTGATTGGTCACCATTTTTATTTCTCCTTCATCTCATCCTTTCCCTTTCCCTTTCCCTTTCCCTTCTATAGAGTATAGACGGATCCAAATTTAGGAGAGACTCCCTTTATATACCAAATGACATCTACTACACTAAATAAATAAATAAGGCATATCAACAATAATGGTTGTGAATCAATGAATATTGTTTAGTACTATAATTGCATATTCACCTTTTCTAATGAAGCAAAAAAAGCAAAACATTACCTACACAATCCTCTGATTCAGACAATTCTTGACTTAAAGGGAAACATAACATAACAAAATTATGATATAGACTTACCTCCATCAGCAAGCGGAGCTGATGGACATGGTCCCTGCCTGGAAATAAAGGTTTCCGATCCATTAATTCCATAAAAATACAACCCACTGACCATACATCAATAGCTGCAGTATAATCTGAAGAGTTAAGCAACAATTCTGGTGCACGGTACCATCTTGTGACGACATATTCTGTCATAAAATCAGTTTCAGAGGTGACACGAGCTAGTCCAAAATCACATATTTTCAAGTCACAATTGGCATTCAGTAGAAGGTTGCTAGGTTTTAAGTCCCTGTGTAGAACATTTGCAGAGTGTATATATTTCAATCCCCGTAGGATTTGATAGAGGAAATACTGCAAAAAAAAAAAGGTGGTTAATTTGATATCATGACCGATGGATAGCACATACAAATAAAAACTCCCCAGGGAAGAAACATCCATACAAGATGAGCTTCTCTTGAAAAGGAATAGCATAGTATACTAAAAACAGAGATAATGACTCCAAAGGATAAAAGTGATATTAACAGTTAAACCCTTCTTTCCCACACAGGGAGCAGGAGATCACCTTCCGCTTCACATGCAGTTATTAAAGTTTTGACAACCACCCAAACCCCAATGATATTAAAAATCCTATGAAATTTCAACATGAGATATTTGTCATGTGAAACAAACCAGTAATCAATAGCTATTATTAAATAATCTTCCATTAGAGGCCCAAATAGAGCTAAAGTGCAAAGAACAACATACTGAGGCCTTGGGTCCCAATCCAATTGCTTAACTAAGTAAAAGGCCCTATAAATTGATTTATTAAATAAAAGGCCAACGTGTAGTGTGGGTGTAGCCTCTAGTTAATGATAATGGCTGTACCATAAAAAATAATTGTATGTCTAAATATTGACCTGACAATGCTCTTCTGACAAAGCTTGATTTGATCGGATTATTTGATGCAGGTCAGTATCCATGAGTTCATACGCTATATAAACATCATTAAAAGCTTCCCTCTTTGGTGGTGGTATTATATCTCTGATTGCAACAACCTGTATGAAAAACAAAAGCAGATGTTAAATTGATATCATTTTCTTCTGTCTGTTTGTGTTTGCATGTGTGAACACATGTCCAAAACTATGGATAAACATGGGCAATATAAGAAGTACACATGGAACCAAACAACAAAGGTAAAAACCACATCTTATTAGGTTATAACCAAATATAACATCAATGTTATGTGGTATTAATGATAAACGAATAGTCTTTTAGGATACCATAAACACCAATAGATTCAGCAAATCTACCATGTACTACATTACAACACAGTTTGGGTTTCGGTATCACTCAAGATATCAATCTCTAACTAATCAAGTACAAAAAATTCACAGATTTGAAGTGAAGTTACTTCATAAAATAATCTAGAAAAGGACTTTATCAGCCCAAGCAGCAAAAATGGGCCTAGAAAAACTAAAAGGTTACCTAAAATCTCAACTAATGTCATGTTCCTAAGGAAGGTTGGTAAGTAGTTGTGTTAAAGAATACACGTGGGTTACGACAATAATCCTGCATCATTGATTATGGTTGACTCAACATGTGGAATGCACGTTCTCGTTGGTAATTATAGAATCAAATTGAATTATGCACAGTTTAGCTCTCCCGAGAAACGGCTAACATAAATGTATAAGCAGCCTTCTGGGAACAGTTTATTAGTGACTCTGGAGGTATTCAACTACCAAAGTATATTAATGAACTCAAAGTCAGTATTCAATAATGCTATTCCCTTAACAACCACACTGCTGCCGTTAACATGACTAAAAGAAAATTCAAAAAGAAAAGAAAAAAATTTATTGCACTCTGGTTGTTGATAACTTAGGAAAAGCAACGAATTGGCAATTTACACTCACTGACATTTTCATGATCCATGTGTCGAAGTAGCTTTATCTCACGAAGTGTTCTCTTTGCATCAATCTTGTTGTCAAATGCATTTGTTATCTTTTTTATTGCCACATGCTCATTTGTCTCTGAATTCAAAGCCGAACTACAAACAAGATAACCACATAACAAAATCAACAAAGTACCTATCAAACCCCAAAACCAATTCCAAACTATCTTACTATTTAGCAAGTTGTAAGTTGTAACAGATTCTTATGATAGAAGATAATATATTTAGGGGAAAGGGAACATTAAATGATTTATTTTTTTGCTCCATCTTTCTACAATCAAATGATTTTGCTTTGTTACCAATAGAAATACAGAATCCAAGAGTCTGTTCTATCACCCAAAATTCATAATATTCCCATAAATTCCTTCTTCAATCATGAAGAAATGATGCATGTACAGATACAAGAAATTCATATTAAGAAAGAAATGATCAAACCAAACCTCCATGTATTGCAATAAAAACTATCTCTTTGTCAAGGAAGAAGCATAGAACATGAATAAAAAAATACACATAAAGGGGCAGAGAAAGAGACATGAAACGAAAAAACAAAAAATTAAAAGTGAGGAAAAGGGGATAGAGCACAGCACCAGACGATGCCATAGGCGCCCTTGCCGATGGGCATGATTGGGGGCCTGTATTTGGCAGTAACCTCAAATATGTTCCCAAAGATGTTATACTGAATGAACCTGCCACCGTGGCTGAGCGTGGCCGGAATCTCCATCCCGGCCGCTCCCATTTGTGGGGTGGGCTGCGGATGATGTTGCTGATCGGGCTGCTGGGCGGCCTCGGCCATCTCGGTGTCGGCGGGCTGCAGTCCTGCTGCTCCTTCCATCTCTTGAGATGGGATGTGGGATTCAAGAACGGAGATTGTGCGTGGATCTAGAGTTGTGCATCTGTTTGCGTCATCTTCTGTTACTTCTATTTACTTTGATCTTATTTTTTTTCCAGGGGAATTGTGCCGTCGTATTTGGTCCTTTTCTAATTTTGTTTCTTTCTCTTTCTCTTACTCTTAATTTTTTACTTTGTTTTAAGTCTATCCCATGTATTTTGACTCTGTACCATTATTATTATTTTTTTATCAATATTTTAAAAAAATATTATTTTCAATAAAATATCTTTCATCATTTTTTTTTTAACATTGACAGAAGCCATTTAACTCACAGGTCAAGTTCAAATATCCTTCATCGTTTGACATTGATAAAAAAATATAAATTAACAATTTAGTCATCTCCAAGCTAAGTTGTGAATAAAAGATTTAATTGTATATTTTAGATTTTTTATATGAGTTTTAAATTTTAAAGGTGTTAATAATAAAAAGTAATGATATTTTAAGTATAAATAGGGTGTTTAGCGCACCGAGTCCTTCGGGTCAAATGGCAATAGTCGCATTCTCTTCTCCTCCAAGGTTGGGGTTCGAACTCAACCTTTGTAAAAATTTTTGATGAAATTTAAAATACCTTGGTTTACATGTTTTTAAACTGATTTTAGGGTTTTCTCTGAATGACGGTCCCCTCGCCTCCTGACCCCCCGCCTTTGGCGAACGACTCATCGCCTCCTACGCCTTTATCGCTTCTTGAATCTGCCCTTCATGCGCAAAGCAATCCACCTTTGCCAATTGGTGCTATTCCTGCAGTCAGTCTGGATGAGGAAAATTTGTCTCCGGTACCAAAACCCAAGTCATTTCGAGACACTTTAATGGATGGTGATGCCTCTCAATCCCCGCCTTTGATAACATTGGAAGAATTAATAGCGGCTGAGGCGGCGATGGATATGACAATACCGATGGCAGAGGATGGTACTAGTCTGGGTGTGGCTAAGATCCCCAAGGTTAGGATACCAAAGGAGATATGGCAGAGGCTGTGCACCCCTTTCAAGAACGCGGCCATTATCAAACTGCTGGGGAAATCTGTTCACTTTCATGTGCTTCGAGCAAGATTGTTAAAGGAATGGCATACTGAGCATGAATATGACTTCATTGATATTGGGCTGGGATACTATATTATTAAGTTTGGTTCGCCTGAAGATAGGATGAAGGTTCTTACTGGGGGTCCATATAGAATATTTGATCATTACTTGACAGTCCAACCTTGGGACCCTAGTTTTCAACCTGCCAGTGCAAAGGCTCCAAAAACTGCCGTTTGGGTTAAATTGCATGGTGTTCCTACGATGTGTTACCACGAAGCAATGGTCCTTTACTTGGCTAGGAAGTTGGGGAATCCACTCAAGGTTGATAACCTAACTTTATTAGCAACCAAAGGCAAATTTGCAAGGGTGTGTGTGGAGGTCGATTTAAGCCAGAGATTACCGTCCACGGTTGATCTTGACTTAGAGGATCTACCCCAGTCACTTATTTTAGTTGAATATGAGGGGCTTCATAAGATTTGTTTTCATTGCGGAGAATATGGCCATAAAGAAGATTCATGTTGTCTTAAAAACCCAATACCAGTTGATGATAAGGAAGGAGGTGTTTCAGCAACCATCGCCGGTGGTGGTGGCCTTGCGAAGACCATTGTTGCTCTCAGCCAAACTCTAAAACCGAAAACTACGAAAAATGATATGGTGTATGGCCCGTGGATGATTGCTACACGTAAACCTCGAAGGCATACCCAATCTAGAGTCATGGTTAGTGATACTAATCCTGTTTCTACACTGAGACTGGAAAAAGTGCAGAGGAATAATGCAAGAATAGGGGCAGATAAAAATAAACAAGGGAAGGAACTACGTGGAAAATCACATGATCAACAAGATTCTAGTAATCGATTTGCGATTATCTCAGATATAATGGAGGAGAATACGGAGTTATTGGGTAAGGAAGATCTGCATGTAGTTAAGCAGCTTGTTACGCCCGTAAAAGTGGAAAAATTGCAGACACCAAATGTTGTTGTAGAAAATAATTCGGCTCTTGAATCAATACCCCTTAGCCAACCAGTCTTGCCAGGCCCCAGCACAGTTGTGTTATCTCAGCCCGTTAAGGCAACTAAACTACAAGCCAAACAATCAAAGGCCAAGGCTCAAAAAACTAAGTCTAAGCCTTTGCGGCCAATATCAAAAATTGCTAAATCCTCTTCCTCAAAACCTATTGAGACAATGTCTGTGGGGAAGAAGCATACTGTTGCTAATCTGGAATGGCAACCCAGAGAGAATGGCCACCCTGCTTCTCCTATACCTCTTACTAGTCCATTGCCCACAACATACCAAATGAATTCTTCTCAACAAGTAATGGATGGTGAGGTGAATCAGTCTACTCACCAACAAATGAGCATAAATCAGGTGCTTAGGCCTCCAGATGACTCCAAGGCATTGGTAGGCTATGATCATAATTCTTCTGCACAGCTAGTTGCAGGTGTCTATTCTCCTACAGTTTCTCAATGAAAGTTATAACTTGGAATAGCAGGGGCTTGAAATACAGCCCATTCAGGAGGGAATGTAAGGAACTTCTTAAGATGCATAGGCCAGACATCATTTGCTTTCTAGAAACAAAATCCAATTCCCAGGATGATTCTATGACTTTCATGACACGTCTTGGATATGACAAGCAATTCCAAGTCACTTCTCAAGGAATGGCAGGTGGTTTGTGGCTGTTTTGGAAGTCAAAGTCGACATTACTGCAGGTTCTTTCTGCATCACATCAAGATATACATTGCATGATAGGGTCGAGAGCTTCCAAGTGGTTTCTTACACTAGTTTATATTCAACCGCATAGTCTTATGAAGGAGGAATTCTGGTCACATATGCAAACTAAAGCTACATCACTTTCAGGTAGCTGGGTTGTTATGGGGGATATGAATGATGTCATCTCTATGGAAGAAGTTACTCCACGATCCCACAATGTTTTCTTAAGATCTCAGGCATTTCGAGCAAGGCTAGATGATTGTGGTTTGTTCTCCAAAGATGCTTTAGGATGTCATTTTACATGGGCTAGAAGGCATAATGATAGAACTATCCTAAGAGAGAGATTAGATAGAGCTGTCATGAATCTTAAAGCCTTGGAGGAATTTCCAGCAGCTAAGTTAATAAATTTGCCAAGAATTTGCAGTGATCACCATCCCATTTTATTAAATGTACAGCCAAACTCTGTAATTAGACGTCCACGGGGACCCCCGAGATTTGAAGCAGCATGGCTTACTAAGGATGAGTTTGGAGCGGTGTTTGCAAATGCTTGGAACTCCAATAATGACTCTTTATTTCAGGCAATTGAAGAAACAAGGAAGGCATGTTTTACATGGGGTAAAGAAAGTTTTGGTGATATATTTAAGCAAAAAAGGCTACTTCGTGCTCGGTTAATAGGTATCCAAAACTCTAGGATCTACCAATTCTCATCTTTTTTACAGAAACTAGAGAGTGAGCTATTAGAAGAATACCATAAGATCCTTTTGGCAGAAGAATTATTTTGGTGTCAAAAGTCAAGGGTGGAATGGATTCATTCTGGGGACAGGAATACCTCTTTTTACCATACTTCTACCATTGTTCGAAGGAGCAGAAATATGGTTTCAACCTTAAAGATTGCTGATACATGGGTGACTGATGATACCCAACTTCGAACACATGTTCGATCTTTCTTTCAAGAACTCTTTACAGCAAGGAACACACAACAAATGGCAAACCCCTATCTAACTTTCCAGCCACGAATGGAGGATGATGCTCATGAGTTGGTGTTACAATCAGCTACTCTTGATGAGGTGAAGCAAGCCCTCTTTTCCATGAAGGGTCTAAAGAGCCCTGGACCAGATGGTTTGCAAGCCATCTTCCTTCAAAGACAATGGGATGTGGTGTCAGGTACCCTGCTTAATTTTGTGAATTCAGCTTTGGCTAATGGTTCTTTTGAGCCTTCACTATTACAAGCCCATATTGTTTTAATACCAAAGGGAGATGCACCGGATGAAATTCAGAAGTTTAGGCCAATCACTTTGCTTAATGTAGCTTACAAAGTTTTATCCAAAGTTATAGTGAATCGATTGCGACCTTATTTACAGGAGCTAATTGGACCTTTTCAAAATAGCTTTCTTGCTGGCCGTAGTACTACGGATAATATTGTTTTAACACAAGAGGCAGTGCACAGCATAAGGCGTTTAAAAGGAAGGAAGGGTGCCAGTATTTTAAAAATTGACCTGCATAAAGCCTTTGATAGTGTTAGTTGGAGCTTTTTAGAGACAACTTTGTTGGACTTTAATTTACCGACGACGCTAGTTAAGCTCATCATGTTCTGTGTAACTTCTGTTAAACTCTCTGTTTTGTGGAATGGGGAACCTTTGCCTTATTTTGAACCACAACGGGGACTAAGACAAGGAGATCCACTATCTCCTTATCTTTTCATTATAATAATGGAGAAGCTATCCCATATGATCCTAAGTCGAGTCCAATCTCATAGTTGGAAACCAATAAGAATCGCAAGAGGAGGACTTGCTTTATCTCATTTATTCTTTGCAGATGACTTGATGCTGTTCTATGAAGCGTCTCATTCTCAATTATCAATGGTGATGAACTGTTTGCAAGAGTTTGCAAGTTACTCAGGATTGGAGATCAACTTGACTAAATCCAAGTTGTTTGTGTCACCAAATATTCAAGATGCTGTAGCTCGCTCCTTAAGTAATTCCTGTGGAATTCCATTGACTTCAAATTTGGGAACTTATTTAGGGGTCCCAATAATTCATGGCAGAAACTCTGCAGCACAGTATAAATATATTCTTGAAAAAATTCAACACAAATTAGTGAACTGGAAACAGAACACACTAAGCTTGGCAGGAAGGAGGATTTTAATACAGTCTGTAACATCGGCTATTCCGGCCTATACTATGCAAACAGTATTATTGCCACAAAGCATCTGTAATGCAATTGATAAAATTAACAGGAATTTCCTTTGGGGAACAGAATCTGGAGATTCACGGCCTCATCTTGTTAGTTGGGATGTGGTATGCAGAAGTCGGGACCAAGGAGGTCTGGGATTAAGAGCAGCGAGGGATAATAATAGAGCTTTAATAGCTAAACTTGGCTGGCGAGTATTGACAGGGGATGAAGCCCCTTGGTGTAAAGCCATGAGACAAAAGTATCTGCGCTTTTCAAAATTTCTTACAACAGAATTGGGATCAGGAGCTTCGGCATCTTGGAGGAGTATTTTAAAATGTCGTGATGTGCTGCAAATTGGATTACAATGGCGGGTTGGATTGGGCAATTCCATTAACTTTTGGAAGGATCAATGGACTAGTAGTTCCCCTTTATCAAAATTTATCGTCGGTCCTGTTTTCAACGAGTCTTTGACTATGCCAGTCTCTAGTGTTATCACTAATTCCATGAACTGGAATCAGGAGCTCCTAGCTACTTTCTTACCAGAGGCACAAGTGAAGGAAATCTTATCCATTCCTTTGTCCTCAACAGGCTGTATTCAAGATAAGATTGTATAGAGATTTTCAAATGATGGTTTTTTCTCGGTCAAGTCAGCTTTCCACCAGATTTTGTTGCAAAAGGAACCAATACCTTTGCAAGACCAGTGCTGGAAATGGGTATGGAAACTGCGCTGTTCTGAGAGAGTTAGGATGTTTGTTTGGCTCCTTTTGAGAAATAGAGTTCTCACTAATGCTGTTCGCTATGAGCGTCACCTAGCTGCTTCCTCTACATGTCCTCGTTGTGGGGGGGAATCTGAAACAGCTTTGCATCTCTTGAGGGATTGCCCTTTTGCTATACAGGTATGGACCATGCTAGGTTTGGGAGATCATGTTTTTTTTCAACTGAGTTGGCAACAATGGATTCGATGTGGTTCTCAAAAAGTTTCTAAAGTATGCACTAGAGACATGTCTTATGACGTCCTTTTTCTCTCTGCTGTTTGGGAATTATGGAAGTGCAGAAACCGACTGGTATTTAAGGGAGAACACTTGCCAGCGGCTACACTTTGTGATGCAATCTGTGCTTATGCACAAGATACATATAGAGCAATGGCTTGTAACATTTTTGTTAAATCTCAAGCTCCAAGATGGATCAGTTGGCAACCACCAGTCCCTCCCTTTTATAAGCTAAACACAGATGGGTCTAGATTGCAGGAGACTGGCCTTGCTAGTGCTGGAGGGGTAGTTCGAGACCATTTAGGAGCTTTCATTCAAGGTTTCTCAATGAATATTGGATTGGGTTCCATTTTCTTAGCTGAACTATGGGGATGCCGAGAGGGGTTAATTTTATGTAGAAGTAGAGGACTCAAGCATTTAGTCGTGGAGATGGATTCTTCATCTGCAGTGCAGGTCATTAATGGATTAAAAAAACATGACAGCTTAGCGGCAGTTCTTGTATCAGACATTAGAAGACTCCGTGTTGAGTTTGATTCTATTATTTTTCAACACACACTCCGTGAGGGGAACTCTACTGCAGATTTCTTGGCTGGAATTGGGCATAACTTACCGGTTGGAACGATGGTCTATGATTCTCCGCCTCCTGGATTGAATTTTTTCCTAGAAAGGGATATGATGGGCGTTGCTTTTCTTCGCCATTAGTTAGTTAATTTATTTCCTTTCACATGTAACAAAAAAAAAAAATATCTTTTCTCCACATAAAATGATATGGTTATCTAATAAGAAAATATATATATATATATATATTAGCCTTGATTCTTATAAATATTTTCATATCAAATATGATATGTATTATCTTTTATATAATATTATTTTTAAAAAATATTAATTTAATTTAATTTAATTGTTAATAAAAATAAATAATAATTGATAAAATAATTAATATTTAATATTTAATTAATTGAAATCAATTTATAAGTTGTTATTTCTAAAAATCATAACTAATTATTTTAAAAAAACTATAACATAATAAAATATTAATTAAACTAAATATAATTTGTGTAACTATAAAAAAAATATAAATAATATTTTTCACAATGTCAGACAATGGAAGGTGGATTTTCCTATTTCTTTCTTTCTTTTCTTCTTCTTCTTCTTCTCTCTTTTTTTTTTTTTTTTTTGGCATAGGGTATGTCAATATAAGTATGAAAAACGGTAAGAAATTCAACTTCATTTGAAGCAAATTCTAAATATAATTCATTATAATGACTGATTAAAAAAATTTATGATTTACTAGTGTAGTTAATCAAATCACCTATTTAATATAATTGACTCTATATCTTTTAATATTTTCAATATTTTCTCATTCTCAAAATCCCTTTTCACCCTCCAATTAAATATGAGATGAGATTTCTAATTTAGAATATGTGATTTAGAACAAAACATTAATAATTGATTGAGTTTTGTTCTCATTTTCTTGGTCCATGTTATAATATGTGTGAACAAAAAAAAGCCAGAACTTTTGGGCTTAAAGTTAGCAACAGAATAGGTTTTTTTTTTTTTTGACAAAGGTAATGGTTAGAAAGTTAGTAGAGTTAGTTATTAGCAACTGGGATTTTCCAGAATGGTAAGCAATTCACCCCCTCAGAAGAGGCACGTGACCATTAGGTCACAAGTTAGTGGAGTTCATGACGGTGGTAGAGATCGAAACCTTGATTTCCGCCTCATCTAAGCCCCGCCTCACCTAAGCCCTAAGGCTTGGGGTCAACCATTGGGCCACAGGCCCGGTTGGCAAATAGGTTTTTTTAAACAGCTATGAAATGGTATAGAAATAGAACATACCATAACTCTAAAATTAATTAATTAATTTTGAGTTGTGTGAAATGCCATATATATTAGTTAATTCACACACAAGAATGATGTGGGATAAACACCCCACAAATGGGAAGGGACCCTCCTTAAGGGAGTTAATTTTTTTGAATAGTATGAAATAATATAAAGACAAAAAATTAATAATTATTATTTATAATTCAAAATATTTAATTTATTTAATTAAAATTAATAGCTGATAGATATTTTCATAAAATCAAAACAAACATCCCTTAAGCCTTACGGTTTTACACAACCAAAAAAGAATATAGTCCTTAAACCTATGTCAGATAATGGGCTTTCCAATTTGACCCAAGTGATGCGAGGACCCAATTATAAAGTAATATAAACCCACCAAGTGGACATTAGGTCTTTTGATTCGGTGAATTGGTAAGGTAAACCCAACCAGCAAGTCCCCCTAGGCCTATATTAAATAATGGACTTTCCGGTTTGGCCCAAGTGGTGGGAGGAAGGACCCAACTTAACTATAATACCCAGAGGAGATTAGGGGTGCG